CCTAGCCTTCCAGATGTTGCTTAACTTCAGCACTACGAATAGGGCGACATAAAAAAAAATATTCCCAAAATAATATCCTGAAAGTCATGAGCCCTGGTGGCGCGGTGGTTAGAATGCGGTACTGCAGGCTACTTCTGCAGTTCGATCCTGACTGGCTCAAGGTTGACTCGCCCTTCCATCCTTCCGAGGTCGGTAAAACGAGGACCCAGATTGTTGGGGGCAACATGTTGACTCTGTAAACCGCTCAGAGAGGGCTGTAAAAGCACTACGAAGCGGTATATAAGTCTAAGTGCTATTGCTGTTCCTTCCTTCCTTCCTTCCCTCCCTCCCTCCCTTATTATTCCTCTCTTATTCCCTTTTCTCATTGTCCTTCCTGGTGGCACAGTGGTTAGAAGGAAGTATTGCAGGCTAATTCTGCCTACTGCCAGGAGTTTGATCCTGACCGGCTCAAGGTTGACTCAGCCTTCCATCCTTCCGAGGTCACTAAAATGAGGACCCAACTGGCTGAGACAAGAATAATGTCATTTCATGTACTGCTACACGTTGTAACATGCAGGTTTTGGGCTATTAAGAATAATGTCAGTAACTAATTTTCTAAACTGGAACTCCTCAAAGATTCCTATTTCTAAGTATTATGATCTCAAGTGTTTTATAACTTTACACTCATGAGGAATTCGTGGACAAATTTCCCCTTAACACCACAAATACCTGGAAGTAATGCAAAAAAAGGGGGGGGACTAAAATCACAATATTTCCAAGTTTCGCTAGACCAGACATGTCAAGCTCGTGACGTCATGTCACGCAACGTTATTGGGAATTTTGCCGTGGCCGGCAATGGGGTGGGCGTGGCTTCTGTGTCACGCGTCCGGCCTACGGGCCGGCAGTTTGACACCCCTGTGCTAGACAATGACATATTAATACCTAAACTGACATATTAATAGCGAAACCTTACCTGTTGTATTATACTTTTTACACAATGGATCGGAAGGCCCTGATAGCTGGACTTAATTATCCATTTTAAAAGGTGATGTCCGAGTACTTCAAAAACCATACAGACATCTGTGTTTCCATTAAGGATAAATGGCAAGGGATTTTTTATTGGCGTACAATTATGTTTACAGAGCCATTACAAAGAAGAATTCTGCTGAATGGACTCTTATTGCAAGGTTCTTATATAAAGTAAAGACAGACGTTCAGATAAATTGCACAGCCCCAGACTGGACCCATCAAAACTGCTTTCTACAGTATTTCCCACTATAATAATTCATTTTTAGAGAACTGACCCACTAACGTAGCATAATATTCTGAAGGGGATGAACAAGTTTTTTTTTAATATTGCTTAAAAAGGCAAGACAGAAAAGATACGTATGCCGTTCAAGCCAGAAATTTTAAAGTCGTCAATTAATTGCACCACCATGTCTTTATTTGGATCGTTAGGGTCACTTTCACGGACCTAAAAACAAAGACGAGAAACAACATGTTACATTTTAAATAAATTCAGAAGCACCGACATTTATATTTTAACCACTTATTTTAAAGACAAGGCAGGTATCATGGTTCCAATAGAGGAGACCAGTAAAAAGAAAAGTCCTAAGAAGCAAGAGGTTTCCTTAAAAAACCTATTTATTGGCTACAAAGTACAGGCATGGTCAAAGGTGAAACCAAGACCGAAGGCATAACTGTAAGTAATTATGAGAAAGAGTGTATATATTTGATTTTACATATATTAACTGCAGCAAGAATTGTATTCGCTCAATACTGGAAAAATGAAGATCTACCAGCGAAGGAAGTGTTAATTAAAAAAATCTTAAGAGTGTGCAGAAATGGATAGATTGACTTTGAAAATGAAAGAGAAAGAAGACCCGGGTTTTTTTAGAACATGGGATACTTTTTATCATTGACTAGAAAAACGAGACAGAGAGAAAGGAACTTAATATGTATTAGTAAACTAGGCATTGAAACCCAGACAATGGGTTGCTGACAATATTTTAAGCAGTTGTGATTATAAAAAAAACTAATTTATAGCAACCTGCCAAAACCCCAGCAGCAGTGACCTTGGTTCCCACAGGACAATTTATTGTTTAGTTTAACCTTAAAAGCACACATCCTCCCCCCCTCCCAACTGTGGCCACCGAAAACAAAGTTGCGACGTTGACGGTAGGTTCGAACAGGCCTTGTGGTTTTCATTGCCTTCCTGGACTCCTAAAATTAAGTCATAAAATTACTTGCAACTGTAGAAGTGCTTTTCAATTTATCGCAAGAAAGAGTGGGATGTCGCCGTGATACTTACACACTTCAGCAATTTTATTTCATCCAAGGCTGTCTCCGTATAATGTTGAGCGCTTTTCACAACTTTCATTGCGACAAACCGTTTCCCCCTTTAAAACAATAGTTAATATATAGAGAGAGATTTATCAATATTATATTCTTTCTTCTATTTAAAGGAAGAAATAGAGAAAACAGAGACACTAAGTACGGGTTCACTACAAATGATAACAAGGCAGGATCCCATCTGGATCGGTCAACCGGGACCAGAGGTTTAATCTTCCGAGCTTTTGGACTCGTGCTGGAGAGCAACTTCTGGAAACTTCTCTCTGTCCAG